ACTGTGCTTGGCACAGCGAGCTAGAGATCATTCCTGAGCCTCTTTCCCATCTGTCTCCTTGCTCCTTCCCACCCCCTCCTCTTTCAGTATCTGTACTTTTCCATTAACATTTCAACCAGGAGATGTATCCATTTACATGAATTTCAAGCTGCTGAGACTGAGACTTTATGGGGACGGGAGAATTCTCTTATTTGGGGGCCTAAAGGTGTAATATTTTTGAATTTTCAAAAGCTGTGCTGTAGCTTGGTCATGAGTTGTTATCCCACACTTTTTTATGCCTTTAGTTCTGGGCCTCATGATGAACTTGGGCCAAAGTGGATAGGCTTCTCTAGGTTGTGGAGTTGGATGGTCTCCCACCAGATCAGTGCTGGCAGTGCCCCTGTGCCTTGCATGAGGTTCCCATTCAATGGAGGGATCCTTAGAGGCTCTGTGGTGACAATATCCAGGCCACCTCTGTAGAGGGGACCTGAGTCTGCTCTTTCCCAGCCTCTACTACCTACAGAACATCACCGGGGTTAAGTTGGTGACCTTAGAATCAATGAGATGAGGTCTTCATGGAACTAGGCCTCAGCTTCCTCCTTCTACTGAGAGTTGTGAGGATTAAATGAGATAATACATATGAAGCACTCAGCATGATGCCAGAACAGGCGTGCTCAATAATAGAAACTTTCTAAAAGACTTTGAATGCAAAGGTCCTTTGTTTGTTTGTTTGCATACCTGGGTGGGTTTCACAGTCTCTATAACCTCTTAGAGAACACATGCAGAATCCTGTGTGTATAAACCACTTGTTCCTGGGCCTACCTTCTGGAACCGCTGTCCCCTCCCACAGGGGGAATGTGGCTCTAAGCTCATAGGCATCAGTCCTGGCTGCTCAGGCTGCCTGTGGTTGGGGCTGGAATTGTTTTCTTCATTTTTTGCCAAGGAATCTTTGGGCTGGAATCCTATAGGTGGGATAGCAGGTCAGAGGGATCATGTGTTTGTAGCTTTGTTAGATATTTCCCTCCATTCCCACAACTTCTTGCTTTCCCTTGAATACTCTTGCATTCCCACAGCCTCAATAGCAGATTGTGGTCAAATTTTGAGATTTGTGTCAATCTGCTAAACAAGAAATGGTATTTCAGGCTTTTCTAAAAGTTTCATCATATTATGAGCAAGGTTGAACACTTTTTGACATGCTTAAAATGTCATTTGCATTTCTTGGTGTGTCTTTCTTGTATTTAGAAGCTATATTGGTTTAGCTTGTAATTTATGTTCTTACTTTGCTAATAGTGGACTTCTTTTTCTATATATGTTGTTGTTTTAATTTTTTATGTAGTTAAATTCATCAGTCTTTCCCTTTATGATATGTGGATTCTGAAATCAGGAGTCGTTCTCATTTTCAGGTTTACAGGAATTTCCTCATTTTCCATTTTCTTCTAGTTCTTAGATGATTTCCTTCTTCCAGTGACTCTGGCACCACTCACTGAAAGATACCCACCCCCCTCAATTTCCATATGCAGTTGAGCCCGCTTCTGGATTTTTATTAAATATTTCTTGGTTTGTCTGTATATTCTTTAGTTTTCCCAACCCCTAACTCAAACTGTTCATTTTAAAGTGGTTTTTTTTTTTTTGTTATTCTGGCCTGTTCTTCAAAATGATCTTTATAATAAGAATAGTGTGGGACTTCCCTGGTGGGGCAGTGGATAGGAATCCGCCTGCCAGTGCAGGGGACATGGGTTCGATCCCTGGTCCAGGAAGATTCCACGTGCCATGGGGCATGTGTGCCACAGCTACAGAGACTGAGCTCTAGGGCCCTAGAACTGCAACTACTGAGCCTGCGTGCTGAAACTACCAAAGCTGATGTGCTTAGAGCCTGTGCTCTGCAACAGGAGAAACCACTGCAATGAGAAGCCCATGAACCACAGATAGATAAAACTGACACACAGCAACAAAGGCTCAATGCAGCCAAAAAAAAAAAGAATAGTGTGTATGACAAGGGCAAGTGTCCATTAAATAAGGTTAAGGGAGAAAACAGACAACAGAGCCACACAGCATATACATGTGTGTCTTTTTCCTTATAGAAAAATAGTGGAAGGGAAAGAGCCAGGAGAGCCTTGTTTGAGTGGTTATCTTTCAGTAATACGGCTATGGGTAGCCTTATCTTCTTACTGATACAAACCTTAAAGAAAAACTATGCCAACCGCCACACGGCTTCTCACCCTCTCATCCTCCTTCCCCCTCACCTCCCCCGTGCCACTCTGGAGACCTTGTCACAGCTCGGGGCCACAGCATCTCTTTGTAAAGGAGGGCGCACATTACCGCCCAGAGGAGCCCGGGGTTATGGCCTCTGCCAGATCTGGGGGTGGGGTGGTAGGGAAGGTTCAGGCATACCTGATTCCCCACCCCACTGTCCTGCTCTCCATTAAAAGCTCTACACCTCGTGTTCCTTATTGCCCAGGAGGCTGATTCCTAAGGGGTAAGGGAACACCAAGGGCCATTCTCACCAAGTTCCTACTCCGGCCCAGCAATGTACAATAGAACTTTCTTTGATGGTGGAATGTTGTTTTCTGCGCTGTCCAACAGGGTGCCACTAGCACATGTGACTATTAAGTACTTCAAATATGGCTGGTATGACTTTTTAAATTTATTTTTAATTAATTTAAATAGCCACTCTACTGGCCAGTGCTTCTTTGGCCAATTCCCAACCCAGTCACTCCCCTTCCACCCTAGAGTTGGAAGGAAAGAGCCTGCCTGTGTAGGTGGACTGAGAGGCCGGGCAGGCTGGTGGAGGCTGGAGAGAGGGCTGGAGAAGGGGGCCAGCACACCAGCAGCCTGCCCAGCAGCACAATACTGCAGGTGGGAGGTGAGCAGGAGCCTGGCAGCCTGGCAGGCAGCTTCCTCCAGGGGCAGGTCTCTTTGTCTGCAGACCTACTTACAGCAACCCAGGCAGCATTGTTTCCTGGGAAATGGAAAAGCACCCAGCAGCTTAGTGGCCTCAGGCTGGAGACTCATGGGAGGAAGCAGGACTGAAGAGGGGTTGGGGGAGCCCACCTGGCCCCAGGACCCAGACGCCACCTGGAGGTGGGGTAACCTGGGTACAGAGCTCATCTCGGCGATTTGGTTTTCCTACTTCTACTTCAGGAGTGTGAGGCCCTCCCTTCTGTTTGGGGCTGGAGGACGATGGCAGAGAGGGCATGAGTGAGGGCAGAGTAGCCAAGGACTGGGACCTGGGGGCCCCAAGGAGGACGCCAGGATGTGGGGCAAGATCTCACACTGCACTTTTGAGGGTGATTTGGAGACCAGCCGCTGGGGCTGTTTCCTACCCTCAAAGGGCCCAAGGTTGCATGTCCTCCAAATGGACTTCATGTTGAGAAAATGATACCGAAAAGGGGAACTGTGCCCCCACAGGACCTGTGGTCAGGCGAGAGGGCAGAGGGGTCACATCAAGGCTTTGAAGTTCTGAGTCTCAGTCAGTAGAGTCCAGCTCCTTGAGTTTGTTGGTTACCTGCTTTGTGCCTGGCCCCAGGCTCTGGTGAGAAACGAACTACCCTTTGAGTCTGTTTGGCAGCAAGAGAAGGTATCCTCATTTTCTGGGGGAGAGAAACTTGGTGTGTTTCTGGCAAGGATGGTGAAAAAAACACTTCATTCTGGGGGACTCCGTGAGATATAAATGGATGCATCTCCAAGGATATGGATGTGTCTCCACCTGTCCATCACAGGGGCTCCCATGCCCAGTTTCCCCCCAGAGCTCCCTGGGGAGCAGAAGTGTGTTCAAAATGCAGATCACTAGGACCCCTGCAGGAGGGGAGGCAACACTGCCCTCAACTGGGCATTCTGAGCTTTATGCTGACCCCTGCTGGAGCCTCCTCAAGCTCTCAGGTTGGGAGAGACAAGACAAACCCCAGAGGGAAGGCCTTCCAGCAGTGAACTTGCTCTTGGGGAACTAGGCTGTTAGTTCCCCAAGGCAGTGCTTTTGCTACAAAGGGTGGAGCTTCTCCTAGAACACAAGCACACAGGAAGATAAGGGAAGAATCTGGAGTGTTTCAGACATTTAAAGCCAAAGGACACACAGGTGCTTCACCAGCCAAGAGGCAAGTCCACCAATGTAGACCCTGGAGACTCATAGAGTCATGTGAGGGGTCAAGGGAAGTGTCACCAGGAGGCAGAGGAGAGGGTGGGATTGCCTCTCTAAAGCCACCTTTGTGGACATACACACCTTAAAATACATTCTGTAACCCCAACCCCATCTCTCTGGAGTCTTAGAGACTCTCTACAGAGTCCAAGAATGGAATTTTTAATAAGCTTCCTCCTTCCCCATTAGTCTAAGAATTATAGTTCTCTCCACCCTGTGTGCAAAGCACAGAAGCTAGTGAGAATGCAGGCCTCCTCCCCTGGGGGTCTCCCTAGAACAAAGGGGAGGCAGCAGGCCTGTGGGAGTTGAGGAGGTCAAGTGGTTCAAGACCCTGAGTGGCTTGAGAGACCCCCCACGCCTGTCCACAGGTGCTCGTGGTGAAATCTCAAATACAAAATAAGAAGCATCGCTTCTCAGCTCCTCCTTCCCCAACATACACAGAAGGGAAGAGAGAATAGCACACTGTATTTCCTCACTGATATTCTTCCATGACTGGGACCTACTCCATACAGTAAACAGTTGTAGGAATATGTAGTTTCCATAAAACAAAATTTTGAATGGAAAAAAAAAAAGATGCAGTCTATAAACAAGTATCTTTTCTGAAATAGGCCCCACACAGAAAAGGTACCTCCCCTCTCAGAGGGCAGTGCAGCTCTGGCAATGCGCAGCTAAGCCAGGGTCACCCACCGAGGGGGCTGCTCAGCCCTCTCCATCAGCATGCATGTCCACCCACAGACCCTCCTGCATCAGAGGCACCTGTCCCTTCAGGTCACTGACCCACATTACAGTCCGACAGGGTTGCAGTGACTGCTCACGGCTGCCCTGGGACAGTCCCACTCTGTGTGGGTGCAGTGGGGGACAGGAGTATGAAAACACAGATGAGAGGAAGTCCACGGCAGACGTCAACCATCGCTTTATTAAGGCTCAGAGTGGTTTGCCAGTCAGAGGGGCTGAGTCATTCACTCCACAGATCCTCGCCGTGTTCCACTTGTGGGTGACACTGACGGTGGAAGCTCTGAGAGCCAGAGCCACACTCACATCCGCCTTGGAGGATGAGAGGTGTGTGCAGAGAGTGTGGCTCAGAGTGTGGGACTGGCTCTGGCAGGGGTGCTGGCAGGGAGGCACTGGGGGGCAGGGACATCTCCCCCATCCCTCCCAGCCCAAACTATGGCTTTGTTATCCTATTGCCACGTGAGTGGGTGCGGAGGGCCTCTTCCCCACCCCTCACTCTGCAGGCCCACGTGCTACACTGTGGGAGGAGACAAAGGGGAAGCCCTGGAGAAAGCAGAGCCCCCCCAACCCTGTGCCTGGGACCAAGCCAGACCTCAGGAGCTCTGAGCCCCCCATTCACTCCTCCTCAGCTCCCCACAGCGATGGGTCTCCTCAGGTTGAGGCTGGTCACTCAGAAGTGAACCCGCAGAACGTCCTGGCTGGCGAACGGCTGCTGGCAGGCTGTGCACGTCACGGCCGGGGAGCGCTGCTTCTCGCCCAGGCAGGGCCGGCACAGGAGGTGGCCACAGGGAAGCTGGTACGCAGACTCCCTTCTGAAGTAGGGGGAGAACACTCTTTTGCAGGATGTGCATTCAGGGCCCAGGCTGCTCCCAGACTGCTCTGGTGAATCAGGGGGGAAAATAGACCAGGGTTAGGGAAAGTGGTCCCCGGTCCAGACTCCATCTGGGAAGCAGGGCATGTGCCTGGAGTAGAATAAGAAGCTTCTCTACCCTGCACCTCTGCAGCAGCCTGGCTTCCTCCCTCCCTAGGTCACCCCTGACTGATCAGGGAGGAGAAGGTTCTAGGGAGCCTGAGAATCTGGGGAGCCTCCTCTCGATCATCAGTGCTCCAAGAAATGCTCAGGAAAAGCTGGCTTTCGAGGGCTGCTGGGCAGCACTGGGCCCTGCCTACGGCTCTCCAGCAAGATGGACTTTCCCCTGGATAGGCTGCCAAGGTCAGAGCAAGGCACATGCTCACGGTGACAATCCTGATAAACTGCAAGAAAGTTGAGATGTGACAAGCAGAGGAAAAAGCAAAATATGGTGTGATATACCCAGGATGAGCAGGTTAAGGGGGGACAGAGGTCACCAGAGGGGCAGGGCTGAGGTCTGTCTGTGGCAGACCTGCCTGCTGAACCTGGCCCTGCATCACTGTGGCCCTGGAGCCCAGCTGCTCACCTCCCAACCTGTCCGTCAACCCCCTTCTTGTGCTTCAGGCTCTCCCCTTCATGCTTCCCACAAGATTCCTGCATGAAGGCCACAGTGGGCAGGTTCTGCCACTCCTCCCCAAGCTATACCTGCCGCTCTCCCTTCTCTCATGGCCCTTGCCTAGGGTTGCTGCTCTCTCTCCATCAATCCACGCCCACCTGGAGAGAGCAAGGATGGCCTCTTGGGTGAAGAGCCCTAAGAATAAAAGGGAGCCAGCCATGCATGAGTGAAAGAGACACCAAGGACAGAGAGAGGCGGGTCCATTAAAGAAACAGAAAAGACAGGTGTGATGCAAAAGAGTGCGGCTTCGAGAGTATGGCAGAAGAACATGCAAGACCTCACAGGCCGCCATTTCTACTTTATTCCAAGTTCAACAGGATATCTTGGAAGAATTCTAACAAGCGTAATACCATGATCTGGCTGACATTCTCAGAAGATCCTGAAGGCTCCTGTGAAGAGGACGGGCAGGGTAAGGGTGACTGCAGAGGAGCAGCAGAGGCTGTACGGGAATCTGGGGGAGCAGTGCAGGAGCCAGGGCCAAGGCAGCAGCAAGAGTGATGCAGCAGAGAGGACCTCCCTGAGATCTACTTTGGAGGAGTGTAAAAAGGACTTGATGATGAACAGAATGTCAGGAATGTTGACGGAAACCAAGGATGACCTCCCATGTTATGGGCTTGACCACGGGGTAGAAGATGCTTGCTCTTTACCAGTGACTGGATAATGGGGGGCTTTGGAGGACAATCTTCGGAGGCGCCTGCAGTTCTGAGTTAGAAATTCACTTAAGATATCCATGAGTTTCCCCTATAGGGGTGCCAAGTAGCTGTAAGGGAGGTCAGGGTCTGAGTTCCAAGAAGAGGCAGGAGCTATATGTGAACATGGGCAGTCACTGGCCAAGTGGTCTCTCACTTGAGTGGTACAGAGTATAGCAAAGAGGGTCCAAGACCAGAGTCTGGAAGAGAACAAAGAATCACCAATGGAAACTGAAGAGACACTGTTGAAAATTGGAGAAAAAGAGCATAACATCTGGAAGGCCAAGACAGAAGATGTTTCAGGAAGGAAGGAGAGGTTAGCCACAATAAATGCTGCCAAGAAGGTAAGTGACCATCAAATCTGCGGTCATGGAAATTGCTGGTCACCTGGATGAGACAGGTTCTGGGAATGATCAGGATGGAAACATAATCAGAGAAACTGGGAGGTGGGGACAAGAGGCAGAAAAGGTAAGTTGGCCTGGGATCCAGGCAATGAGAACAGACGCACTTTAGACAGGCAGGAGGAAGAAAGTGTCCACCTTATCATTAGCCCTGCCAGATTTCACCTTGTAAAAAACTCCCCAAGTTCTCTCACTTTGTATCCTGACTGAGTCTATCGTCCACTGTGGTCCCAAGTTCATTTTAGGCAAAACTTGGCTCAGTAAGCTACCCCTGTTCTAAGATGCTGGTTAATAGGGAGGGATGAAGATGACATACTCAACTAGAAATCACTCTCCACATTTACATAAAGTTACCACAGATGTCAGATGGGAGACAGACTACATTTAAAAAAACAAGCAAAAGGGAGAAACAAACAAATGTCCTCAGGACAGAGTAATTAACATTAGATCTTACCAAAATCACCAAGCCCCAACACCGTTGAATTACTAAGAATTAACTAAAGAAAGCCTTTCCTGTGAAGAGTTACACTTCATAGGCAACCCCTCAATTCCCTCTAGAAAAGGAAAGGCCTGGGTGTTGGAACTAGGGGAGCCTGGGTGTGGAGGTCCACAGAGTCCCAGAGGTATGCCCCCACATTCTGTTCAAGGGTCTGAGGAGATGCACAGGGCCCCTTCTTACCTGAGCTGGTGCTGGACCTCCAGGAAGTATTGTTCCCTCTTGTGCTGAGGTGCTGGAGCTGTCCCCTGGTCAGCCGAGCTGTGAAGGAGGGCATGGAGCCAAGGGTAGATGTCAAGGCAATTTCCAAGCTTTGTGACAGTTTTTGCTCATGGGACACTGGGCCTGTTAAGAGGTACACAGACCACAATATCAAGAGAGAGTTCTGGCAAAAGAGAAAACCAAAACACAAAGTCCTCTGAAGACCAGAAAATAGTGTTTCTTCTTCTTTTTCAAACATTCTCACTTTATTAATTTATTTATTTGTCTTTGGCCAAGTCACACAGCATGAGGAATCTCAGTTCCTCGACCAGGGATAGAACATGTGAGCCCTGCACTGCAAGTATGGAGTCCTAACCACTAGACTGCCAGGGAAGTCCCACAGAATGGTACTTTTAACTTCAAATAGACACAAGCATAAATAAAGTCCTCCCTAGTTTCCACTAATAGACTGTGATAACAGGATACCAGGAGGTAAAGCCCTGGGGTTCCTGGCAGTTCTTACCCATCTCACATTGCTTTCAGGATTCCTGGGCTCTTGGCCAGCTTTCCTCCTCCTGTACAAATTACTGGGCAGGCCTGGGCCACCTAGTGGCTCACCTGCAGAACTGCACCCTACTTTCTGAAGGCGTCCCTACCTGCCAAGGAAGTAACTGGGACAAGCAAACGCCCAGCCAAAGAACCCAGAGATTTGCCAGGATTCCCCAAAGTGGTACCCTAAAAGTACCCCAAAGTAGGGAGTGGAATGTTTGTTCTACAGCATGTAGGATATATGATATCAGCCTGAGGCCTTGAAGGAGCACTAGTCAGCGTGCTCCTGTGTCACCAACAGATCTCTTAAGGCTAACACCAATGGAGACCTCCACAAACATCAAGGTCTAAGCACCTTTCTCTTCATCTTACCCCATTGCACTTCAGATGCTTCCAGGAGTTTCTGGGGGTCTTGTTTACTAAAATTTACACTCAAAGTCAGAGAAAACACAGATGTAATCTTTAAGTTACTATCTGTATAAGCCTTTTAGACTAAGAGAGGAACTTTAAAGAATGGTAAAATCTAAACAGACTAGTTTTCATAAGGAAAAAAAAAAGTTGTCAGAGCTTTCTCCAAAAGCACCAAGCACTGACAATCACAGGGGAATTTTATCAACATGCAAAGTGTAAATGATTCTAAAACTATTAAGTTGTTCCAGAGTTTAGAAAACGAGAATTTCCTAATTCTTATGGAATAAATCATCAAAACCAAAACCTGACCAAAAATGGTATGCACTTGTGAACACACACACCCAACTGCAGTTCAATCTCATTAATGAATGCAAAAATCCTAAATAAAAACACTAGCAAACAGAACCAAGCAGTACACTAAGAGAAGCATGAACAAATGAAATTTCTTACAGGAATATAATAATAGTTCAATATTAAGAAGCCTACTAGTAATACTTTACTGCATTATCGTTGTTGTTCAGTCACTAAGTCATGTCCAACTCTTTGCGACCCCATGGACTGCAGCATGCCAGGCTTCCCTGTCCTTCACTATCTTCCAGAATTTGTTCAAACTTATGTCCATTGAGTCAGTGATACCATCCAACCGTCTCATCCTCTGTTGCCCTCTTCTTCTCCTGCCCTCAATCTTTCCCAGCATCAGGATCTTTTCCAAGGAGCTGGCTCTTTGCATCAGGCCAAAGGATTGGAACTTCAGCTTCAGCCTCAGTTCTTCCAGTGAATATTCAGGGTTGATTTCCTTTAGGATTGACTGGTTTGATCTCCTTGCTGTCCAAGGGATTCAAAAAAGTCTTCTCCAGCATCACAATTTGAAAGCATCAATTCCTCGACACTCAGCTTTCTTTATGGTACAACTCTCACATTCATACATGACTACTGAAAAAACTATAGCTGTGACTATATGGATCTTTGTTGGCAAAGTGATGCCTCTGCTTTTTAATATGCTGTCAAGGTCTGTCACAGCTTTTCTTCCAAGGAGCAATATCTTTTAATTTTGTAACTGCAGTCACTGTCCACAGTGATTCTGGAGCCCAAGAAGATAAAATTTGCCACTATTTCCACTTTTTCCCCCTTAATAGATATGCAAATATGCCATGAAATGATGGAACCAGATGCCATGAAATTAGTTTTTTGAATGTTGAGTTTTAAGTCAGCTTTTCACTCTCTTCTTTTACCCTCATCAAGAGACTCTTTAGTTCTTTACTTTCTGCCATTAGAGTGATATCATCTGCCTATCTGAAGTTGAAGATTTCTCCTGGCAATCTTGATTCTAGCTAGGTGACGCAGTGGAAAGGAATTCACAGGCCAATGCAGGAGACACAGGAGATGTGGGTTTGACCCCTGGGTCAGGAAGATCCTTTGGAGTAGGAAATCACAACCTACTCCAGTATTCTTGCCTGGAAAATTCCATGGTGAGGGGAGCCTGGTGGGCTACAGTCCATTGGGCTGCAGAGTCAGACTTGACTGAGCATGTACAAGGATGTGAGTTTAAGAATGTGGCACAAAATCAATCACTTTACTGCATTAAAAGATTTAATGATTAAAAAAAAGACTTAATGATGAAAAATCATAATATCATCTCTATGATATTGAAAAGGCATCAGACAAAAAAAAATGCATCAGACAAAATTCAATCTTGGGTAAAAACAATGAATAAAATAGGAATCATTGGTGTGTGAAAGTGCCTGAAGGCCCCAATGAACCCCACCTCCTGCTACTCATATCCTTTGAGTGTGAAGTGGATTCAGTGACTTGCTTCCTACAGAATACAATAAAAGTGATGTCACTCTGTGATTAGGTTCTACAAGACTGACTTCCACTTATTTGCACATGCTTGTTTGCTGCCCTTGAGAAGCCCTTGTGGCACAGAATTGAGGGCAGAATCCAGCCACCAGACAAAAAGGAAGTGAAGCCCGTAGCACAACAGTTCAGCAAGGAACTTAATCCTTCCTTTGAGATAGCTGCAGCCCTGCCAACACTTTGATAGCAGCCTTGAGAGACCCTAAAGCAGACAATTCAGCTAAGCGATGCCTGGATCCCTGAGGGAGAAGCTATAATAAACGTGTGATTCTTTAAGCTAGTAAGTTTTGGTATAATTTAAGCTAGCAGAGCACGAAACAAAGTGCCAGGGCCAAGGGTCACCCAAGAGGAAAGACAACATGGGGCTTGGACACGGGACAGGGGTTACCTGTTGAACAATCCATGAGCTCACTGGCAGCTTTCATTTTCTTAGCAGTGTGCTCTGAGGTAGAGGGTGAGACCAGAAGGCTTGTGGTAGAAAAACAGGAAGCATTTAAGCCAAGGCTACTGTCTGGGCCATGTTCGGCCTGCTCCATCTTCCTTTTCCGAGAGGGCAGAGCAATGGAAGAAGGGGCCACTGCCAATGCAGTCTGTGCTCTCCCGAGCAGCTGGCAGCCAGGGATGGAGTGCTGGAGCAGGAAATGGTCGATCCGTGCCTTCAAGGAAGGGTGAGGCAAGGGCTGGGAGTGTGGAGTAAAGGCTACTCCTGTGAAAGGGTCACTGGGCACTCGGCCCCATGTGGCTTCACTGCGGTTACACTTCTCCAGCGTGCTCTGGTCAATGACCTTGCCTGAGGGCAGTAGCATGGGGAAAGGCATGATCTCCAGGGTGATGGGATCTAAGAACTCTTCAGGTATATCCCGAATTACCTCAGCCAGCTCCTGTAGGCTAGAGGGGGCCTGCTGGCCTTCAGACTGGCCCCCAGAATCACAGTCACTCTCCATGGGCAACGCTGGAGCCTGTAAAGACAAGTCCTGAGGGAGACTCTCTGAGGCAACCAGCAGGACACTGTCTATCACTTCCTGAGAGCAGGTTTTGGCTGGCTGACCCCATACCTCTAACCGCTTGATACAAGGGACACCACCACCTGTCACATGGGTGATACAGATCTTGAGATGGGCCACGTGACTAAGAGAAAGAGCCCCTTTATTCCAGAGTTCTTGGGCCACAACAGCAGGGGAGGGGAGTGTGGCTTCCATTGGACCAAAAGGGGGCCTGGCCTTGAAGCCCCTGTGGCTAAATACCACTTGGCTCTGGTTTTTCAACAAGACTTTGCCCACCAAAGTGAATGCTTCCTTGTCCGGAATGGATGGCTCATCTGGGGTCCGGCACTCAGGGGTATTCCAAGACGCTCTGCTGGATAAGGCAGATGTGTACATTTCCAGGCCAGTGACATTCTGGCCTCCCCCAGCTGAGAGATCTATGTTAATCCTACAGATTTCCACATTGAAGGGAAAGGAAACTGTCACATAGACCGGTGGCTTAATGAAATACTCTGTCCTAAAACCATGACTTCTCTTTGTGAGGTCTTCAGAGATGAGATTTTCTACTTCATAGCCATCAGCTGATATCTAGATTTAATGACAAAAATGAGACACATTGATTTGATGAGCTCTAAATCAAGGTGAGTTTTCAAGACCTTGTCACTTCTAGTAAAACTCTAAAGAAAATCTGAAGTTCCTCATTTGAAATTTCCTGTATTGTATCAAATTTTCCTATTCTTTCTTTGGCATGCATCCAAGATCAAATGAAAGGCCAAGGGCAACGGTGCCCCTAAATACTGCCCATCCTTAAAAAATGAGCAACAAAACTCTGTCTAACCAACCAAAATTGCTTCAAAATAACGTCTCTATGAAAAAGCAGCAGATATACAAGCTTTTTTTAACCTTATTTTTAAATTTCAGAGGATGAAAATGTACAGATTTAGGGGGAAACGAAGATGTTCACTGAAGTTTCCAATTTTGTATTTGGACTCTATCACTTATAACAGTTTCCCCAGGAAGGCACAACAAAGGAGCTTCTTGTAAATCTCTGAATGATGTAACCTGGGGAAAAAAAGTCTGCATAGGAACAAGGACCACAAAAGACTATGGGAAATTTAAAACAGTGAATGTGCTAAGGGTGAGACTATGAGTAGCTTTTTCTCCCTCTTAATATTTCCAATACTTGTCATAACCAATGGAAATTTTAAGGTATCATTGTCTGAAGGAGTCAGCTTAATAATCTGGGAACCTGAAACAGTGTGCTGCATGCAGAAATTCCAAACTGGGGAGAAGTTCAATTCTACTCTGGGAGTTTCCTTACTCCCTGCTCTGGACTGTGGAAACATACCCTCCTTTGCACAAAAGGGGAGGCAGCTTAATTCAAACAATAAAGCACAAGGAATCCATATAACAAATATAAGCCATTATTTCTAGCATGAGAAGTTAGCAAGAACAGCAGTGAGAGAATTTCTACCTTCACTCTGACCTTGAGTGAAATTAAAATTTATCATCAATGATAAATTGACGAAATCTGGAGAGAAAAGAACCCTCCACAAAATGAGTCACAACTCAGCTGTCTGACTTTAGAGGTGCAGCCTGACCCATGCTTACCTAAATATCATCTGGTAGACTCTAAAACAATGAGGGTGAAAGCACATTAAGCCTGAACTGTCTATATACACAAGTAAGGAAATGGAGGAAAACATGAAAAATAGATGTCATTTATTTATTTATGTGTATATACTTGTTCTGTTTACCTTGTTGCAGTAAATTCTTGGTCTGAACTGTGGGAGACAAAGATTTATTACCATCTTTATGGCTGAAAGGATAGCTTCCAAGCATCAGAAATAGCCTTAAATGAAAAAATAAAACTTAGTATTAGACAAGTTAAAACTCAAATCTAAACTCTTAGGAATTGATTCCTAAGAGATGAGAGTTAAACAGAATAACAACAAAAATTTAACATACACTCTCATGGTCTATACTTACTCTCTTTCTATACAACACGCGATGATTACAAGGGAGATTTCTTTTGCAGATTATGTGGTTTGGTTCTCTGGCTGGCAGCTGTTCTAAAGCCCCAGTGGAAGCAAGGGCCTATCAGCTCTGCAAGGAGCTCCCAACAGGAAAGGGAGGGTCAAAAGTAGATGAGCTCAAAGTAAAAAGACGACTACTTAGTTGGAAGGTTTAAGAATGAAAAGGGTCATAGAAAATAATCATAGTGGTGCTATGCATCTTTCATTTAACACTTGTTAATGCAGTTATGTTTTATTAAAGTGAAAACAATTAGAAGAGTAAAAAATATTAATATTGAGAAATAGAAAATCTTAAGAGTTGAAAACATCTTAAAAGAACATCTAATTCAAATCCAACTGATCCTTGAATAAGGCAGGAATTAAAGGCATTGACCTTCCACACAACTGTTGAAAATCCACATCTAATTTTACAGTCTGCCCTCTGTATTGATGGTTCCACATAAGTGAATTCAACCAACCTCAAATTGTGTGGTATTGTAGTATGTATCTAGTGAAGAAAACCCATATATAAGTGGACCTGCACAATTCAAGCCTGTGCTGTTCAATGGTCAACTGTAGTCATTTTGAAGACCAATATCCAGGAAAAGGGAAATGGATGAAGGTCAAAAAGTACAAACTTCTACTTAAAAGATAAGTAAGTTCTGGGGATGTAACATACAACATGGTGACTACAGTTAACACCACTGTATTGCATATATGAAAGCTCCCAAGAGAATAGATCTTAAAAGTTCTCAACACACACAAAAAAATGTAACTACATGAGATGATAGATATTAACTAATCTTGTTATGGTAACCATTTCACTATATATATAAAATCATTATGTTGTACACCTTAAACTTATACACCTTGAACTATATAATGTTATATGTCAATTAGAGCTCAATAAAACTGAAAGAAAGAAAATGACTAATGTCCAACAGCCTTTGTTACATTCTCTATAGAGAAGCAGGGAAGCCACTAGAAACATCCCTCCTATTGGCAAGCCTCTACAGTGGATCTGCACTCCTTGGAAAGGCCAGCCAGTCCATGCTTTTCCATCTAACAGACAAAGCCATGAAAAACTCCCAGGAAGGACAGGGCCATACTCTGCGGTCTTTGTTGTTGTGCTCAGTAGATGCTACCTGCAGAGGCCAGGCACATTGGGCTTTCTGCAACATTTTAGTGAGCAGTTTGATTGCAGCCCTGAAATTAAAAGACGCTTACTCCTTGGAAGGAAAGTTATGAGCAACCTAGACATACTGAAAAGGAGAGACATTACTTTGTCAACAAAGGTCCGTCTAGTCAAGGCTATGATTTTTCCAGTGGTCATGTATGGATGTGAGAGTTGGATTCTAAAGAAAACTGAGCATTGAAGAATTGATGCTGTTGAACTGTGGTGTTGGAGAAGACTCTTGAGTCCCTTGGACTGCAAGGAGATCCAACCAGTCCATCCCAAAGGAAATCAGCCCTGAATATTCATTGGAAGGACTGATGCTGAAGCTGAAACTCCAATACTTTGGCCACCTGATGTGAAGAGCTGACTCCTTTGAAAAGACTCCAATGCTGGGAAAGATTGAGGGCAGGAGAAGGGGATGACAGAGGATGAGATGGTTGGATGGCATCACAGACTCAATGGACATGGGTTTGGGTGAACTCTGGGAGTTGGTGATGGACAGGGAGGCCTGGCGTACTGCAGTTCATGGGGTTGCAAAGAGTCGGACATGACTGAGCAACTGAATTGAACTTCTGCACAATGAGGTTCTACAGTGAGACTTTTGATGGTCTGTTATCTCAGCCTAACCCCTATGTCTGTTCTACATATGAACACAAAATATTTTTTAACATGGTTTTAATACAGGCAGAATTTTCTAAGAAGGGAACTTCCATGTAAATTATACGAAGATCAGACTTGGTTTACTTCAGGTTTTTACCAAGAGGAATTCACTTCTGAAAAGCACATCACTAAGAGAAATGCTAATATATCTGACAGTCCACATTTGTAGCAGTCTGCATTCTAGATGATTCTATATGTTGGTAAAAGTTTCTGATTACTTTTTTTTTTTTTGGCCATGCCACGAGGCTTCTGGGATCTTAGTTCCCCAACCAGGGATCGAACTTGTGCCCAGGCAGTGAAAGAGCCAAGTCCTAACCACTGAGCCACAAGGGAATTCCTTTGATTACCCCTTTATGCCTTCCAGTATGGTCATATCCAAACATTCACACATGAGAATAAATTTTCACACTTTAAAATTTCTACTTTAAATTATTATTAAGTATTTTGTGTGCACACGTATGTGTTTGTTTTACAACTACACAGTAAGGTTATATTATCTTTGACTTTAAATTCAGGACAGTACATTACAAAATATGTATTATTAAAAGAGAGAGATGAATCTGATGGAATAGAAAATCCTTGGCCTAAAGTGTCCCAGTCTTTGTTCAGAACCTGTGCCGAAAACTCCTTGTTCTTCTCATTTTTGGAGGCATACATGCCATCTCTTTGCCAGCCTTCTAGAATCTGCCCTGGAATCAACATGGATAGTTGACAGAACTCCTTTTTTGGAAGATTGTTCTAATATTTTCAGGCTGTTAACATCCTTATTCTCCATAGTAACTCAAAAATTAGTATCTAAGGAATTACATCTCCAAATATTCTCAGGGCCCTTGTATGTACCTCCTTTTGGTCAGGAAACTAGAATTCATTTAGAGCAGCATTTCCTTCAATTCTCCCAACCAAGTAGGGCAGTGCCTTCTTGTTAACTTTTTGTTTTAAATGAAAAATTAAGCCAATGAGTTTAGTTTAATATAGAAGTATTATTGACTCGATGGACAAGAGTTTGAGCAATCTCTGGGAGATAGTGAAGGACAGGGAAGCCTGGAGTGCTGCAGTCCATGGGGTTGCAAAGAATTGTACATGACTGAGAGACTGAAGAACAATAACAAAATGTGACTTGTACACATAAATATTGAAGAATTAAAAAAAAAAAAAAGAAGTATTAAAATGATTATATGGGGCTTCCCAGGTGACACTAGTGGTAAAGAACCTACTTGCCAATGCAAGTTAGACCTGGGTTCGAAATCGCGGTCAGGAAAATCCCCTGGAGGAGGGCATGGTAATCCTCTCCAGTATTCTTGGCTGGAGAATCCCATGGACAGAGAAGCCTGGCAGGCTGCAGTCCATAGGGTTGGACAGTTGAATATGACTGAAGCATGATTATATATGATTATAAATGATTATATAGCCCAGACCAAGGAAACAAAACATTTCTCCGAAGAAAGCAAGCCTAAGATTTGCCAAAGGAAAACAGATAATATATCAACAGATGGTGACAGGACCAATTTGCAGAACTAAGCTGGTCCTAGGTAAACTGGTGAAGTTAGCCAGCTCCAGCATTTGTGAGGGTTTTCTTTTCATTGCCACAAGCACTTGTCTCCTCCCTTCTTTGCTCTGATAGAAGGTGGCTTTGGTAAGAAAAAATAAAGAGACAGAAACTGTGTTATAATATCAAAATACTGAGAAGTGTTTCCTATTAGTAAGACAAAGGCAATCATCTCTATCCCCACAGTTCACATCTTAGGTCTTTTCTCTGACTTTCAGAGAAAAAAACAAACTCTGGCAGAGGTAACAACGCTAACCCATTGAGGTACTGATTTGATCTCTTAATGGAAGGCACTGATTCCACTAAGATATACATTCCTCCTGTCTCTTGTTACTTTCTTGGACATTTCACACTGTGGTCTTTTAACTTTATTTTTCCTATTATGATATTTATTTATCTGAGAATGTAAATGTCAGAATCAGAAGAACCTGGGTAGGGGTCTTCTTGGAGTCATAATGAAGAGCTTTCCTATGAATATGAAGATAAATGGAAAAGTCTTCAAAACTTATCTGAGTACCCAATGTAGTAAATGGTAGCATGAGATGGAGTTGCTCAGATTTGACTACCCTCAGGACAACTGCCCTTGTGGCTTGGCTATCATCAGATACCTGTTCTTGTGATCGGACTTGAAAGATGACCAGGATGAAAAGGACAAGGGCTTTCAAACTTTTGCTATCTCATAACTTAAAAAAATTTCACTTCAGATACCTGACAGTAGAGAATCTGATGGCCCTTCCAGTCAGTGAAGCAAATTAAAAGAGTTATCTGAATTGTATCTCAGAAAACACAAGGCTCACTCTTCTCGTAAGTCATTAGACCAAGACCCTCTAGTAGCAAAAACACAACTCTGGCTAGGGAAGCATATACACAAAATGACTTAGAAGAGGCCATGAGGGTTTGTTGGCTTTTTAAAATATTTTTTAACACCAAAAGTATTTTGTACTGGGGTACAGCCGATTAACAACGCTGTGGTAGTTTCAGGTAAACAGCCATACATAGGCATCTATCCATTCTCCTCCAAAACCCTCTCCCCTGCAGGCTGCCACATAACATTGAGCAAAGCTCCATATGCTATGCAATAGGTCTCTGTTGGTTATCCATTTTTAAATATAACAGTGTGTACATGACCTTCCCAAAGTCCCTAGCTATCCCTTCCCCCACAGCAACCACAAGTTCCTTTTCTAAGTCTATGAGTCTGTTTTGTGAGTAAGTTCATTTGTATCGTTTCTTTTTAGATTCCACACACAAGGGGTATCATATGATATTTCTCCTTCTCTGACTTACTTCACTCAGTATGACACTCTCTAGGTCCATCCACATTGCTACAAATGGCCTTATTTCATTCTTTTTAATGGCTGAGTATCAGTCCATTGTATATATGTACCACATCTTCTTTACCCATTCCTCTGGACATTTAGGTTGCTTCCATGTCTTGGCTATTGTAAACAGTGCTGCAATGAACATTAGGGTGCATGTATCTTTTCGGGCCATGTTTTTCTCTGGATATATGCCCAGGAGTGGGATTGCAGGGTCATATGATAGCTCCATTTTTAGTTTTTTAAGGAACCTCCAAGTGGCTGCACCAATTTACATTCCCACCAACAGTGCAGTAGGGCCCCCTTCTCTCCACACCCTCTCCAGCATTTGTTGCTTGTGGATTTTTTGATGATAGCCATTCTGACTGGAGTGAGGTGATATTTCATTGTAGTTTTATTTGAATTTCTCTAATAACTAGTGATGTTGAACATCTGTTCATGTACCTATTAGCCATCTGTATGTCCTCTTTGGAGAAAGTCTATTCATGTCTTCTGCCCATTTTTAAAGTGGGTTTTTTTTTTTTTTTATGCTATTAAGCATCATAAGCTGTTCATAAATTTTGGAGACTAATCCCTTATTGGGAACATCATTTGCAAATATTTTCTCACAATCTGAGGGTTGTCTACACATTTTATTATTTCCTTTGCTGTGCAAAAACTTTTGAGCTTAAGTAGGCCCCATTTGTTTATTTTTGCTTTTATTTCCATTATTCTGGGAGATGGATCAAAAATGATGTTGCTGTGATTTATGTCAGAGAGTGGTCTGCCTTATGTTTTCCTCTAGGATTATACTGTCCAATCTCACATTTAGGTCTTTAATCCATTTTGAACTTATTTTTGTGAATGGAGTTAAGGACTGATCTAACTTCATTTTTTTACATGTGGCTGTCCAGTTTTCCCAGCACCATTTGTTGAAGAGACTGTCTTTCCAACATTGTGTAGTCTTGCCTCCTTGGTCAGAGATTAATTGACCATAGGTACATGGGCTTATTTCTGGGTTTTCTATCCTGTTCCATTGATCTGTATTTCTATTTTTGTGCCAATACCATACTGCTTTGATGACTGTAGCTTTGTAGTATAGTCTGAAGTCAAAGAGCCTGATTCCTCCAGCTCTATTTTTCTTTTTCAAGATTTGCTTTGGCTATTTGGAGTC